AGAGAGAGAGAGAGAGAGAGAGAGAGAGAGAGAGAGAGAGAGAGAGAGAGAGAGAAAGAGAGAGAGAGAGAGAGGAAAGGAGAGGAAGAGGGGGAGGGAGATGGGAGGACGGCGGTGCTTTCAAGCGGGTATCGACTCAATCTGTACACGCCTCCTTGAGAGGGGGTTGGCGGCCGCCCGGACGCGCCCGGACGCCGGCCCCTCGAGGCCTTCCTCCTCCCCTCGCCTCCTCTCCCACCGGAGGCATGCGGCGCTTGTCTCGACCGTCTCGACCACGCTGCGCGGAGGGTGCCCCTGGGACCGGGCCGGACTCCAGAGGGGAAGGGAGGGGGAAGGGGATGCTGAAGTGTGGTCGGTCATCTTGCCCCGCGCCTCCAACGCCACGCCGCGCCACGCCGCGGCCTCTGCCTGGGGCGTTTCAATGATCCGTCAGTGTCAAGTGAGGGAGAAGACTCCTCCTCGCGCCCTGGACCCGCCCTCGCCAACACAATTTGTGTGGAACTTGTTGCCCCCTCGACGGTATCATTACACTTCTCTGCACGAGCTGACCCCTTACTCCCCCCTTGTTTCTGTCCGCAGGTGCTCGGCGCTCGCTCGGTGCTCGCTCGGCGCTCGGTGCTCGCTCGGCGCTCGCTTGGCGCTCGCTCGGTGCCCATTCGACACTCGCCCGGTGCTCGTTCGACGCTCGCTCGGTGCTCGCACCGCGGGCCATGAGGCGCGAGGGCCATGGCGCTGCTCGAGTCCTGCTGCTGCTGGCGGTCCGTGCGGAAGGGCAGCTATGCGAGCGCCATCTACACCATGGTGAGTTGATGATTTGTTTTCATGGATATCACAAACTTGGTACAATGCTGGAGTGAGTGACGTGTCAAGTCCCCTTGTTAGCGCCTGCTAGGTGGGCAACATCGCGGCTGCAACGCTGGGCTGTACTGCGGGCTGGCCTAACCTCAGTTTTGCAGGCGCCAAAGCCCTTTGTTATTTGTCGAAAAATTCTCGGAGGAGCGGGTATACTTTTATACTTTCTGGGCGATCTGTAGGTGCCTGAAAACTAGTAACTCATGAGTTGCTGCACTCTTATTTTACTGCAATGCAGCCCATTTCTTGGACGACACATGTGTCGTTTTTATACATGTCGGTCGTCGTTCATGCACAACGACGTTGATGGTTCAAACCATATTCCTAACAAGCTTTAAAAAAAAAGATCGTAAAATTTACGAAAGAATTTCTTGACTGAGTGAGTGCTGATCGAGCGGGAGTGAGTGGGAATGAGTGAGGGTCGGAGTGAGAGGGTAAGCGAGGCGGCTGGCCGCTTCATTTTGCGAGAGCAAACAGAGAAACGCATTATTCATCTCTCACAGCCTCTCCCTCCTCTTACCCTCATGACTTTTATTCCTCTCTTTTTATCCCCCCCC